CGACGTTTCGAACGCTTTACAGCACTCATGGTCACGGGCGGGACTGAGATGTTCAACGTCCATATGTCATAGTTAACCGCGGTTACCATAGATTAAAATTTAACTTTTGTTCCGATCTATGCAGTATGAACTTATGGTATCTTGAAGTCTTGCAGTTGTTTGCTTGGGTTGGGATTTAATTTTATTTATTATAGGATCCCAAGCAGATGGTAGCACCCAGCCATCTTCTCTATTGAAATTAGGATGTTTTTTGATTTCAATAGCCTCGCGAATCATCCTTGGAAGGAATCGGTGTTCTTTAGCAAGGATTTGCGGTCTATCAAATCTGATGTAGTGACGGGGGGCGATCCTGTACGTGTTCACAGACTGCAGACTTCCCGGAGCGTCGATTCTTCACATCAGCTATATGTTCTTTAACGCGGGTTTTTATTGATCTTTTAGTTTGTCCTATGTAGGAGAGACCACATTCACAATCAAGCTTGTACACTCCTGCATCTTGCAGAGGGACATTACACTTGACTGATGGTAAAAACTGACCAATCTTCTTCAGCGGCTTGAAGAATGTTTTGATGGAAGCGCGCTTCAAGATGTAGCCAATCTTGTCAGTGACTCCTCTAACATATGGCAGTACAGCAGGTACACGCTCGACTGTGGCCGGCTTCACTCGTTCACTGTGACGTAGGCGCGGGACTCGAAGCTTGTTGTCATGCAAAACTTGCTTGACATGGTGGAACTCGGCAGCCAGGTGTTTACTGTCACAGATCCCTCGTGCTCTCTGAAACAAAGATTTACCCACGGTAGCTAACTGTGAAGGAATGGTGGTGAGAATCACCGTTTAAATATCTATCTGTATGGGTCTTTTTTCTATACACAGTATGGCTCAAGGGTCATCCGAATTACTAACACATCTAGAAAAGCTAAGGAATTCTTTTCTTCTAACTCCATTGTGAACTGAATTTTAGAATTTATAGAGTTAAGATGGTCTAAAAATGCAGTTACTTTATCTAAAGGTAGAATTGTGAAAGTGTCGTCTACGTACCGCTTGTAGAATCTTGGATTTATGGGAGAACTAAGCAGGGCTTTCTCCTCAAAGTCTTCCATGAATATGTCGGCGACAATGGGAGATACAGGTGAGTCCATCGCCACACCATCTACTTGCTTATAGAACTCCTCCTTCCACAATAGGTAGCCAGATGTAAGGCAGTGTATGAGTAATACTGCATATTCTACGGGCATGTTGTTTTCTTCCAGCCTTCTAGTTACAATTGAGATGCAGTATTCAACAGGTAAGCATATAAACAATGACTGCACATCAAAACTGACCATAGTTTCATTGTCTGCCAGATGTAGGTCTTTAATCTCGCTGACAAAATGGTAGGAATCCTTTATGTGTGCTCTTGTATGTCCCCTGAGCAGTGAGAGTATTTTCGCTAAGTGTTGAGCCAATCTGTAAGTTGGTGATTCGATTTGGCTCACTATGGGACGTAATGGAGCATTGGGCTTGTGTATTTTTGGTAACCCATACAATTTTGGTGATTTGGCGCACGTAGGTATTATCCATTTTTAAACGTCGGGTATTTAAAAAGTTAAATATACGCGATAAATTCCGTAAAAACTAATATTATTTCAATGTGTAGTGTTCGCGTAAATATAAGAAATCATTAGGTCATGTTTTTAGTAATATTAGTATAACTGCCGACATAAGTCGTGAGCACACTTTTTATTGGTCGATACGACGTTGACCACGCTGACGTTCAACGTGATTGGTTCATTAGTCGATTCTCGTTGTCTATTGGTTTCAAACGTATCATTCGGCTTCCGTACACTTCAGAGCAATAATTTTAAATGATAACTTTTTTAATAAGTTTATTTTCGTTAATTGTTTTTGTTAGCTCGTTGTTAATTGTTGTTTGTGTATTCCTTGTTATTAATTGTTTTTGTTATTTCTTGTTTTTAATTATTTTTGTTGTTATAATTTGAGTGTTCAGATTTTGGTCTAAATATGCAGAGAAGGAAGAATTCGGCGTTGAATAGACAATCCCGACAAATTTTCTATTCAGCGTTTAGTTACACGAAAAAATTAGGTACTGCGAAAAACATCATAGACGTATATAAACAGACTGCTGAGGCGACTAATGTCTCAGTAGTTACTGTACGGCGCACCGCAACACCAGATTTTATGGAAGGCATATCACCACTTCCTTCTTCTTAATAAAATAATCAATTCTAACCACCAGGTGTACTTTAAATACTTTATAGTAGATAATAAAATAACGGACAAGAATATCTGCAACATTACTGTATCAAAGTAAAAGTTGATGTGTTCGAGTAAACATTTTCATAAAAGTCACCGAAAATATTAAATTACGAATTGAAATAATAAAGGTATCCAATAATTTTGCCCGACAATGTACCTACCTCCCACCACAGTTTATCTGTGCTCACCACTCGTGTTGGCGACTATATTTCTTACCGACATAATTAATCTCGAAATAATTTAAATGAAAGAAAATTGATGGGCGTAGATTTTTTTTAGTTTACTGTTACTCGTCTCAAAGACCCTAAAGGTAAAAACGTTTTAAGAACAACAGTATTTTTGCATTCATTGATTTATAATAACCATTCATAATGTTTATTATGTTTACGCTTAGGGAGAGATATTATTTTCGCAAATCATTGTTGTGTGTATAAAAATCTATTTTATTATTCCACAACAATAAAATAAATTCAAATATATTCTAAAATAAATTCAATTCATAATAATCAAAGAAACGAAATGCGATAATGCAAAATAAGTAGATAAACAATAAATACACTCATACTTAACAAAATTAAGATTAATCACATCATATCGACTATTGAACTAGTGCCTAAATTTAAAAGCATAAAATCCAAAGCATAAATATTACAATTAAACAAATGTAAAACAGCGCCATCTAATGCAAATATAAGAAACTATTTCTACTGTGTAGATGCTTTATATTTCTGCTATTTGCTGTAAAGATTTAAGAGAATAGTAATATATAAAGGGAAGCAGACACTATCGGTTCATTGGTTCCACGTTCAGTAAAGTTCCTAAAGGAATTGTATCCGCAACTGGTCATCGCTGCGGGTAGTAATAGGGCTGCTTCTTTTTTCCCTCAAATACTAGGTAAAGCTATTCAGCGAGGAAACGCAGCCACGGGGAGTTGAACTATAATAATAGATAATTTGAGTTTTTAGTTTTAATTTTTTTAAATTAAAGATTTTATCAATATCAATGTTATGTCAATGAATGCTAATAATCTGCTGCTCACCAGATGTCGCTAGCCGACAATGAGGTGTAGGTTTTAGTTACACATTGTTATTTAATTGACAAGTTAGTTTTAAATAAAAGTTTATCTGTTTCTAGCGTATTATATTAGTACAAAACTCTTTAATTATTTTTCATTTTCAACTCTTATAATATTTCTATTTGTATGATTATCTGTGGTTTGGTTTATTTATTTTTAATCTAATTAACATAAAAAACACCTCCTTTCATCGAATAGTATAGGACTATGACACCACTAACGAAAGTGGCATTTTGATATAGGTAAATCATGTCTTTTTCTGAAATTTGCTTGTTCAAAAACACGATTGTTTTATTTTGACTTGATCATAATTATTTGCGAAAACACCTCTAAAATCACTATAGTTGAAATTATAACGAAATTACTTATCTATATGCCTGGAACTCACTCAAATATATTCATAACATCTATATTCATAATTTACTTGCTCATTACTTAAATCAATATTTTTTTTTAAATATTTTAGGATTCTGACAATTTCTGAGCGGTCTTAATCGTCGCGGGCGCTACGCAATTTTAGTTCTTTTGACGGCGTTTTTTAAGTTTTTATAGAACATAATTTCTATAAAAACTTAAAAAACGCCGTCATAAGATTCACTCTCTCCGATCAGTACGGTGATAGACCGGAGCCACTTTTTCGATGTGTCGTCTTAACCTTTACATTTTTTAAACAAAGTAAATTCCATGAAGGTTCTCGCTATGAAATCTGTCAAATATTACACCTCCCTTTTTAAGTGGCGCCGCCCTAATGGCAGAAAAGTTGTGGATGCTCCTCATTTATTCTTACATTTGACTGACTACGCCATCTATTGCAGAATAGCCGAGTACAAGAGTTTTTTAGAATATTTTATGGTTGCCTTAGATAAATGGCTTTCAGCCAATGTTCAAGGACGTGAAAGAAGTGAATTGTTAATAGACATTTTAATTAAATAATAATGCTAATATTAAAATAAATAATTATTCCTCGAATTTAAACTAAGTAATTTGTATCCTTTACAATATTAATAATTAAGTAAAGTAAATTATTATTAAAATGAATGACAATCATTATGTATTAAACCAAAAATCCAATTTCATTAAAATAAAAGTATATTAATATTTTGATTTTAACTTATTTTTAAGCAATATACGAAATACAACTAATATACGAAAACATTACACTTCTAATTTCATACAGAAATATAGCTCTAATATGTTTAACCAGTATTTCTTTATGCAATTATGGAAATGTCAATAATGGTACCAAATTTAAATGAGATTAAAACTAAGGCAAAATGCTAAACACCAAACAAATAAAAAAAATTATCAGTTATAAAGCCATTTCAATGCATTTCATCTTCTTTAAAACACAGCTACTGGCGACCATAGATATCTACTAATCAAATGTAGGTCTACTGTAGCGTCTATAGTCTACTGCCAATTGTCAACCATAATGCATTGCGCATAAATGGCCGCCATGTTGCTGCCGTCTGAAAGATGTTCACATCTGTGTGTGTTTACTAATGATTTTTAAGAACGTTCGTAGTTAAATTACATTGATTGTGAAATTGTGAGTGTACAATGATTTCATACTAAATTTGTTTTCGTTATTTAAAAGTCTATCAAATGTCTCTGAGGCCAATAAACAGTGAAATTTACTTTAGGTAGTCATTCGAGTCGGACAGCATAATGGCTGACAATCTGATTCAAAAGTCACATAAAACTAGTGAAAAAAACAAGTATAACAACGTTGTTCATCGTACTACAAGCGAATCTCTTCGGCTTAACGAGTCAGAGAAAGGAGTGAGTCACCCGACAAGCCTTCAATCTAGCCATAACCCAAGGAAAATATCTTCCTTTCAGATCACCAGTGTTACGGTTGGCTCCCGAGTGAGCACTGATGCAGGGGAGGACTCCGCGGACGATCTGGACGAATCTCACACCGATGACATTTCAAGGGTGACCGATATAGAGAATGAAACACCGAGTTATTCCGAAGATACATTCTCAAAAGACGATGTGTTTTACAACGCGTCGAGTGCTTCGCTAGGTTGTGCGCCTGTCATACCGACGAGTTCGCAGTACGGTCTCGCTATTGTCGGTCAGGAAAACAATACAAATCAAGTAGGTGCAGTGCCAAATAGTAATAACACAGAAGTTAATGACATGCATGTCAGTGTCACTAACGCCGGAGCGGGTAGCATTATCAACCTTATAGGTAATACAAAACCCCAAGAAGGCATGAAAGAAATACAGGAACATGTGAGAAATGAGCGGTTTAAAGTTGTAAAAATAGAAAGCACCGAACCCTTTAGAAGAGGCCGGTGGATGTGTATGGATTATTTGGATCATACTACCACTCAACAAAATGCACCAATCACTTTGAACAACAACTTGGATGTAACTGAAAATAACACGTTACAAGCACCAGACAGTGGAGTTGTTATAAATGATAGTCAGCATGATGATATGTGTAATGACCTAGGAAGCAAAGGTACGAAAGACCTCCAAGCGAGTGCTCCAGCTGTACAGCAGATAGAACAAAGTATTCAAAAACAGTTTCCTATTGCTTCTCCTGGGCAATCTCTTACCCAACCTATTAATGTTGTGCAACAACAAATACCTGTGAACCATGTCTCAGTGCAGTCACCACCATTGGAAATGCCCCAACAAATGCCTCCACAGAATATGGCTAATCAACAAGTTGGGCAGCAACATCCTCAAAGTATGGCACACATTACTATGCAGGGTGCTCAACAAGGCCATGCACAATCTGCACCACAGCAACAAGTACAGCAGATCTCGCAAAGCTTTCCTCAGCATCAGTTGCAACAAGTTATTGCCCAATCGCAGGGCATTCCTATGCAACAAATTCCTATGCATCAACAAATGCCTCAGCAGATGCAACAGATACCGAACCAGCAAATGCAACAAATTAATCAACATATTCCACAAGCCCAACTAACCAACATGCAGCAAATTCAACAGCAAATACCGCAGATGCAGGGCTTGCCGAATCAAGGCCAAATGACCCAGGTGGCCAGTCAACAGCCACAGATGCAACAAATGCAAATGCAGCCTATGCAGGGCCAGCCGAACCCACAACAATTACATCAGATGCAACAAGCGCAGATGACTAATATAGGAGCAGGTCATCACATGCAAGGACAGCAATCTATGGGTCCACAACAGACACAACTACAGCATTTGCCTAGCCAGGCACAAATTCAAGCTTTGCAAAATCAGCAAATACCAAACCATATTCAACAGATGCAATTGCCAACACAGCTGAGTGCTCCCAATCAACAAATACAACAAATGCAACCACAAATTCATCAAATCCCTCCACAACCACAGCAATCTGTGGTGACAGGAATGCATCCACAGATGCAACAACAAGCTATGTCTGGTGTTCAGCCACAGTACAACCAAGCGGTTAACCAACAATCCAATGCACAGAATATGATTACGGCCAGTATGCCATCTTCACAGCAACCAATGGTTCAAACTCAACACAGTGTTCCACAATATCACACACAACAGTCGCAGATGAGTCAGCAAGGACAGACTATGCCTCAAGAGGTGCTCACAAGTATTGTTACATCACAACAAGGTGCAACCCTACCTTCTAACCTCCAATCGATGGCCTCTCAACCTCAAGGGTCGACATTGCCGGCAAATCTTCAAAGCCTGGCCAACCAGCAGCAGCCTACCACAGTGCATGCAATGGCACCACAACAAGGAACAGTGCCACAAGGGAATATTCAAATGATGACAGCTCCGCCACAGAATATACAAATGACAATGGACGGAAATCAGCCCAGCATGCAGATACCAGCCTCAGATCCTATATTCATGCAGCCAGCCAACGTCAGCCAGCAAATGCCTGTAAACCAACATATTGCTCAGCAACAGAACATGTTGCAGCAGCAAGTCGGAGGTGGACAGGGACAGATGGGCGGTGTGCAGTATGTTTCTAATCAGGCCGTGCCACAAGTGTCGATGGGGCACCAGAACATTCCAATGTCAATGCAACAGGCGATGCCAGTTGGAATGGGGGGAGGAGTACACGCAAATGTGGTGCAGTCCCAGACGAATATGGGACTCGGTTACGGTGGTGTTGTGCCTGTTATGTCGCAGAGTAGTGTCGCGCCGGTTGAGGTGACCGTTTCGGGAACTAATTCGCCAGTAGTGTCTCTGCCGGTGAGTTCGGCCGCGTACGTCGCCAACACGGCCCAAGCGGGTCACGATAGTCAGGGCTTCGGAAGCCCTGTGAGTGCAGTGGTGTCTCATTCGGTCAATGGCGCGGTTATGAGCAGTGTCAATGTCAATGCGTGTGACAGTGGTGCTTCGGAAGCGGCTTCGGAAGGTTTGCAGGCCGGCGACACTGGCGACGGTAAGGAGGAGCCGCAGCCTGCACCACCGCCCGAGGATGAAAGGTCAGTTAATTACTTGCCTATCGAAATGTTCTCATTAATATATTATTCAGTCAGTTTTTTTGTATTATAAGAGATTTAATTAACACTTGATATTACTATAGAAACATTATAAGTAATTTTCTTTTAAATAACTTAACTCACAAAATTTTTTGATTAAATTTGAGGGCAGCAATCAACAAACATTACAATTATTTAGTATGTAAATCTTTGTGGTTTTTTTTTTGTATTTTATTCACACAACTAGTCACCTAAGTAATGTTTAATATTTTTTCACATTATTTCATTACTTGGAACTTTTTGGGTGTTGTTAACTGCTGGGGACAGTATTCCAGTTTTAGCCGACTTCAGAAAATGAGGAGGGTTCAAATTCGATTGTATTTTTGTATGTAGCTTACGCGATATGTGTTTGTCAACTGACATCAATAAAGACGGATGATAATGAACACATATTACGATTATTTTGCGCCATATGTAACATTGTTATTGAAATGTATATAGTAAACGTTGAATCGTTTCAGTTTCGAAAATCAGTGTTGTGGGTTTTGATTCAAAAGAAACGTTGAAGGTTCTTTAAGTTCAAATTCGCATAGCCTCAGGCCCACTAACTTTAGCGAAACAATCCGCGAAAATAACCCATCCGTAGACAATGGAGGTTGTTTTCTTCGCTTTATACCGAGTCTCTTGCCGCCAGGCGGAATTCGGCTTCCCTTTGATGGTGTTTATTTGCGCTTCGTCCTGCGACGTAAATAGGCGGTTGACATGCGCGGTGCACGCTGACTCATGCGCAACACGCTCTTAAACTTCAGCTAAATAGTTCGACTCTAATTCGTGCGTTCTTCTATTCTTCGAAAGCGAAAAGTTCATATGATAAAGTTGATACATTTATCTACGTTAGTCTTCTACACGAGTTACGAATAATTTTTTTGCATTATGAATATTTTTGTTTTTATTTTAAGAAAAAGCATTAGTTTATTTTTGAATAATTATTAAGTAATAAATTACCAATTCTATAATTGAATCCACTACCCATATCATCCCGTGGTTGTCATAAATGGCATTCATAAATGATAATGAAATTGTACTATTTGTTCCACTTGTACAAAATGACAGTGTAATAGGTACTTAATGATTTTTATCTAGATTCAACTTTGCTAAGTATATTAAAGTAGATAACTACTCGTTACAGTTTTGTGATTTAACTTAGGGACAATTTTTAACGATCTCTTTCTAACTATTCTAACTAAGCGCTTTCTTACTATCTTAGTCATTTAATTAAAGCTTTTGAAATAGACTGGTTGTTTTGTACAAAATAAAAGTGTTAATGTGTGTGTTATATAAGTCTGTTATTAGAAAAAGTCAATTATAGGCTTCGAAAGAACATTCTGAAAATAAATAGTTGAATTTCATTAACCATCATTTAACGTTTCTCTTTGGTAATCAAGTCACGATGTCTTAACATGAGAGAGCCCAAGACGGCGCCAGGGCAACGTCACCGGCGTCGTCGGTAATCGAGTAGCGAACGGAAGGCCGTGAAACTTGAGCCCTCCATTCCCTCCTGATCACTGTATGCATCACACTGCACGATCGTGCGATATACAGATTAAAGTTATATGATTAGCAGGTCGTAGTGAAACAATCAATTGAGCTTAACAGTTGCTATACTTCTATGCTGCGTCGCTCGAATAGGGGTGAAGGCGTTTGATTCGTGAGTAGAAAAATAATTTTCTTTTTTTTATATAATATTTGATCCAAACCTTCTTTAGTCATAAAGTCTGACACTCCCTTACGCTCCACCCAGAGCGAAAGGGGTCATTAGATGATTTTCCATCCGCAAAAAAAAAGCGATAATTTGAAATGTGCTCTAAGAAGAAAATATTATTTAGTGATGAAATCCACTATCCCATATGAGCGGCGAGTGAAGAAAATGAAACAAGACATGGGCCGCAGTGTCTTTCTCAACTCAATAATAATAGAAAACCGCGGTCACAACCCGCCTACTGAGCGTGGCAACTATGGCAAATGTTCTCTGTACGTGGCAACCTATGGGGGAGGCCTGTGATCAGCAGTGGACTGTTGAAAGGGTGTAAGTAATAAATGATTAGTAGCTTATGGTCCCTATCGAATAATTTTGAGTGGGAACCCTACTACCAAAACATTACTTATAAATCCTTCATCTTCTGTACATCTAATGCATCTATATACTTACATATTAGTGTAGTGTCTAGTCTGGTGGAACTGTCTGTCTATAATATCCAAGTAACTGTATTCCATTAACTCTGCAGCATTTTGCCGACCAACGCAAAATTGCAGAATGAGCTTACTTTATCTTGAAAGCTTGCGGTGATATAGTGGTGTACGTATGTGTTTGGGCTTTATTTTAGGTAATTTTATTAATGACACGGTCCCAAGCGGGCGGTAATCCAGTACCCACCCGCCTTTTCTATTGAAGTTAGAGAGCTTTTTTAATGCCCAAGCAAAGCACTCGTAACGTCGGGAGTTAAAAAAGTTAGATTAAACGCGATAAAATCCGTAAAAGAAGTAATTTTTTTCACGCTGCAGCTATCATGGTTGTAGCACAAATTCGTCGGCTCAACCGGGGTAGGACCACGCTCTCACAGTATACCAGCTTAAAATAGCGGCTTCAAGCCGCTGTGTTTCGCATGGTGAGTGTAGAGAACCGGAGATCTTTTTTACTGGAAACGAGGCATTCCATCTCTGTCCTCAGGTTTGCTGACGCATCTGCATTTTGATTCTCAATTGAGGATTTATGTAGATGTTTATGGTCCACAGCATCCACTTAACATCAGGTGAACTGTGCGCTCGTTTGTCACCATTATTCTATAAAAAATATACAAAAATGGACATAGAATATACCTTCAAGAAATTTCATCTCGTTATAAAATACCGTATTGATTATAATCAATGATTTAGTCTTTAATCTACAATGATATAATTAAACATCGAACACGAAAGCGGAGAGTTCTCAGACTCATCAGCGCGTCAGTTTCTATCCGATGCATCTATTAGCGCACTTATATCGGTGAAAGTTCTTGTACGAAACCCCTAGTCATAGATTTCGTTTTTATTAACTTAACATCTGTCAGATGAAACTTTCGTGAATCCAATTAGCGATGTACATTCGGTAGCTAGTCAATATATTTAATTTTATAGGGTAGGTATGGGAACATGTTACACTGGTGGATAAGTTAAAAATAACAAAAATGGGTATGAGTTTGGAAAAATTCTATACCTATTTTCTTCTTTATTGAGATACACGGATACACATAATGATTTATTATTTTTACGCGAACACTACACATTTAAATAACACTGCTAACAAACACCCATGGTCACGGGGATGGGGGGACCATGAGTGCTGTAAAGAGCTCGAAACGTGGGTATATAGAAAAGTTAATATACGCGATAAAACCCGTAAAAACTGGTATTATTTAAACAGATTAACCACATTTTAAAAGGGTACTCATTTTAAAACATTTAATAATTGACCGAGGACTAATAAATTTTTTATTTGTCGAAATTTTTATCTTGCATTGGCGACGTATGAGATTCGCATATCATCCCGTGCGTATCATATGAGATGGAAAGAAATGAAACAGGATATAGACAGCAGCCTCTTCCAATAAAAAAGCTGCCTTTTCCAACACGCCTGCTAAACGTGAAAATGATGAAAAATATCCCCTCTATGAAGCAATCTATGGGGTATGCCTATGGCAGATTTTTGATAATCCGTAATGAATGATAAAAAAAATACGTCGGAAAATAACAGATAGGTTTTGTAAACAAACCTGATTATTTTTGAACGACGAGAACAAGCTATAACACGGCGTAATAAATTGCATTTCTAGCCAATAAAGAATGCTGAGTTATGTTACACCTCAAGGAACAATTTGTTCCAAGCCAGAGCATCTAATTATCAAATTATCCGATTACAATAAATCGATGTATTGTTACATCGTTTGGAACAATCGTCTTTAGACTCGTAACGTTCGAAGTCATTGACGGAAAGCGCAGTTTTATGAATTAGTATATTAACGTCAATGCACTCTCCACGTAAACTATGTTGGTGACGTTTAAAGTCGTTGCCTATGCGAGGTGAGCGGTTGGAATATTTTATTACTATTACATAGTTACTTAACTATATTGAACAAATCTGTAAATAACCTGTATGTTTACTTTAAAATGAGATTCCTATACGGCGTAGCATAAATTAATAATAATAAGAGCCGTGATGTCCCAAGCGCAGGGCACCAAGTTTATATTTGATAGTAAACCATTTATGAAGCTTTCTTCAAGACGGCGGCTTCGTCTAAAGTATTAAGTATTAGTTATTAAGTTTATATAAAACTATTTTTACGGATATGTATTTTTATGTACATGCTATTTTACCGAACTCTGTTTTCACTACAATGGGAGGAAATATGAGGAATCTTTCATACTTGTGCAGTTCGCCAAATTATGCTGAAGCAACATGGTGGGTGGTGGTTCCATTGTCATAAAAAAGTTCTCCTATTCTAAAGTAAACTTATATATTATAATATATAAAGTCATATATATATATATATATATATATATATATATATATATATATATATATATATATATATATTATACAAACGTTTCGTAATTCAATTTAACAATATTCAAAATTTTGTAACTTCCTCAGAAAATGTATCATGTTAGGTAAACTAACGACAATAACAACCTAATGTGTCACAGTAACATTACTTTTTTATAAAATTAAAATCACTTAAAGGCTAAGAAATAAATCTTGCCTTATACATTCCACTCTACTAGTAAACACGAGCATTCGAGTTTTAGAATATTATGGGCCTAATCTGCACAGCGGAAGGGTACTTCGCGTGTTTCGCGTAACATCTAATTTAAAACCTTCAGTATACACAAAAATATTATCTCGAAAAACTGGTGATTGTTGTATTATGTAGTCATATTGACTACAAGTTTGTTGCCCAACAAATGTC